TCATGATAATACGTATAGACCAATAGTAGGATTTATAGAATGATGGCCAGCATATGCAGACTCATGGACGGTTGTATAGACTGGTGATAGGATGTATAGACAAATGGCGAGCATATATAGACACATGGTAGGAAGTATAGACTGATGGTCATAAATAGGCTAATGGTAGGATGATTTATAGATAGTATGATTATTAGACTGATGGTAGGATGTATAGACCGATGGTACATTGTATAGACTGATGGCGGGCACATATAGGCTAACGGTAGGATGTATAGACTGATGGCGAGCATTCATTCTGGTCTCTTGGTTTCTTGGTAGAATTTATATTAACAATAATACGCAGCTGAATGGCGTGTACATTTGGCTTCATGTGTTAAATTCCATGTGCCGGTTTAGAGGTGTTTCTGGACTTATTTTATCCTATTTGGACAGGGTCAGATGCCCCCTGTCTGTGGAGCTCTCCTGAGTGTTTGGTGAGGGCAGAAGGTCAGCTTGATCTGGGTCAGCAGACTGGGACAAAGCACATCCTTCCTGTGCCGGGGGCCGCGCCACCCCCACCCCTTCCAGCTTCTGAATAATTTGGAAATTATTGTACCCAAACTCGTGTGTGTTCCCATCCATGTCCCCCACTGCTTTCATTGTTAGACCCCATCCTGGTAAAGGGGGTTCCTGTCTGCTAACAGAGTACAGCATTATTGCTGAGACTCCACTACCTTCCCCTAAAATGGAGGAAATGGGGCAGATGTAAAACAGGATAATTACTGGGACATAAACACATACCAAGGGAACTCTCTGAGAGATCCCTAGCAGGAGAGCAGTTTGGATATGGAGGGGGAAAGTGTTACCATATACATTGCTGAACCACCATTAAAGTTACAAATGGGTGCTCAACCTCCTCATACATGTAATGTGGGAGCCTGACCACACTCTCTATATTATTTATGATGTGGATACCTGACCACCTTTATATTATTTAATATGGGAGCCTGACCATGCTATATATTTTTTAATGTGGCAGCTTGACCAAACTATATATTATTTATTGTGGGAACCTGACCACGCTTTATATTATTTAATGTGGTTACCTGACCAAGCTATATATTATTTATTTAATGTGGGAGCTTGATATTGCTATACATTATTTAATGTGGGTACCTGACCACCTTTATGTTATTTAATGTGGGAGCCTGACCATGCTATATTTGATTTACTGTGGGTGTTTCACCACGTTATATAATATATAATGTTGGAGCCTATCCACACTATATATTATGTAATGTAGGAGCCTGATTATGCTATATATTATTTAATGTGGGTACCTGACCATGCTCTATATTATTTAATGTGGGAGCCTGGCCGCTCTATATATTATTTAATGTGGGAGCCCGGCCACGCTATTTATATAATTTAATGTGGGAGCCTCACCACGCTATATATTATTTCATTTGGGAGCCTAAACACGCTATATATTATTTCATGTAGGAGCTTGACCACACTCTCTATATTATTTATTATGAGGGTAACTGACCACCTTTATATTATTTAATGTGGGAGCCTGACCACTCTATATTTGATTTACTGTGGGTGTTTCACCACGCTACATAATATATAATATTGGAGCCTGACCACACTATATATTATTTAATGTGGGAGCCTGAACATGCTATACATTATTTAATGTGGGTACCTGACCATGCTCTATATTATTTAATGTTCCAACATATGATTTAGTGTGGGTGTTTGACCATGCTATATATGATGTTAGAGCCTATTATATTATTTATATATTATTCATTATTATTTAATGTGGGAGCCTGGCCACATTTTATATTATTTAATGTGGGAGCCTGACCACGCTATACATTACTTAATGTGGGAGCCTGACTACACTCTATATTATTTAATGTGGGAACCTGATCACGCTATATGTTATTTAATGTGGGAGCCTGGCCGCTCTATATATTATTTAATGTGGGAGCCTGGCTGCTCTAAATATTATTTAATGTAGGAGCATGGCCACATTTTATATTATTTAATGTGGGAGCCTCACCACGCTATATATTATTTCATGTGGGAGCCTGACCACACTATATATTATTTCATTTAGGCGCCTGACCACACTCCATATATTATATAATATGAGAGCCGGACCACTCTGTATTATTTAATTTTGGAGCCTGGCCGCTCTGTGTATTATTTAATGTTGGAGCCTGGCCGCTCTGTGTGTTATTTAATGTGGGAGCCTGACCATGCTGTATTTTATTTAATGTAAGTACCTGACCACTCTATATATTATTTAATGTGGGAGCCTGTCCGCGCTATATATTATTTAATGTGGGAGCCTGGCCACGCTATATATATAATTTAATGTGGGAGCCTCACAACGCTTTATATTATTTAATGTTGGAGCCTGACCACGCTATTTATTATTTAATGTGGGAGCCTGATTATGCTATATATTATTTATTATGGGAGCCTGACCACGCCATATATTATTTAATGTGGGAGCCTGACCACGCTATATATTATTAAATGTGGGAGCCTCACCAACTCTTTATATAATATTTATTGTGGGGGCCTTGGCGCTCTATATATTAATGTGGGAGCCTGTCTGCGCTATACATTTATTCAATGTGGGAGCCTGACCGCGCTATATATTATTTAATGTGAGAGCCTGACAATGCTATATTTTATTTAATGTGGGAGCCTGACCACGCTATATATTATTTAATATGGGAGCCTGACCATGATATATATTATTTAATGTGGGAGCCTGACTGTGCTATATATTATTTAATGTGGGAGCCTGACCACTCTATATATTATTTAATGTGGGAGCCTGGCTGCTCTACATATTATTTAATGTGGGAGTCCAACCACGCTACATATTATTTAATGTAGTAGCCTGAACAAGCTATATATTATTTAATGTGGGAGCCTGACCATGCTATATATTATTTAATGTGGGAGCCTGACCGTGCTATATATTATTTAGTGTGGGAGCTTGTCCACGCTATATATTATTTAATGTGGGATCCTGACCATGCTATATATTATTTAATGTGGGAGCCTGACCACGTTATATTTTATCTAATGTGGGAGCCTGAACTTGTTATATATTATTTAATGTGGGAGCCTGACTGTGCTATACATTCTTTCATGTGGGAGCCTGACCACGCTATAAATGTTATTTGATGTGGGAGCCTGAATGAGTTTTATATTATTTAATGTGGGAGCCTGACCATGCTATATTTTATTCAATGTGGGAGCCTGAATGTGTTATATATTATTTTAAGTGGGAGCCTGACCACGCTATATATTATTTAATGTAGGAGCCTGACCACGCTATATTTGATCTAATGTGGGAGCCTGACCACACTATAGTTTATTCAATGTGGGAGCCTAACCGCGCGATATATATTATGTAATGTGGGAGCCTGACCATGCTATATTTTATTTAATGTGGGAGCCTGACCATGCTATATATTATTTTTAATGTGGGAGCCTGACCATGATATATATAATTTAATGTGGGAGCCTAACCTTGCTATATATTATTTAATGTGGGAGCCTAACCATGCTATATATTATTTAATGTGGGAGCCAGACCATGCTATATATTATTTAATGTGGGAGCCTGTCCACACTATATTTTATTTAATGTGGGAGCCTGAACGTGTTTTATATTATTTAATGTGGGAGGCTGACCGTGTTATATATAATATAATGTGGGAGCCTGACCATGCTATATTTTATTTAAGGTGGGAGCCTGAACGTGTTATATAATATTTTAAGTGGGAGCCTGACCACGCTATATATTATTTAATGTAGGAGCCTGACCACGCTACATTTTATCTAATGTGGGAGCCTGACCGTGTTATATATTATTTAATGTGGGAGCTTGACCACGCTATAGTTTATTCAATGTGGGAGCCTGTCCACACTATATTTTATTTAATGTGGGAGGCTGAACGTGTTATATATTATTTAATGTGGGAGGCTGACCGTGTTATATATAATATAATGTGGGAGGCTGACCGTGTTATATATAATATAATGTGGGAGCCTGACCATGCTATATTTTATTTAAGGTGGGAGCCTGAACGTGTTATATAATATTTTAAGTGGGAGCCTGACCACGCTATATATTATTTAATGTAGGAGCCTGACCACGCTACATTTTATCTAATGTGGGAGCCTGACCGTGTTATATATTATTTAATGTGGGAGCTTGACCACGCTATAGTTTATTCAATGTGGGAGCCTGAACGTACTATTTATTATTTAATGTGGGACCCTGAACGTGTTATATATTATTCAATGTGGGAGCCTGATCGTGCTATATTATTTCTTAATGTGAGAGCCTGACCGTGCTATATATTATTTAATGTGGGAGCCTGACCGTGTTATATATTATTTCTAAGTGGGAACCTGACCGTGTTATTTATTAATTAATGTGGGAACCTGACCGTGTTATATACTATTTAATGTAGGAGCCTGACCATGTTATATATTATATAATGTGGGAGCCTGACCGTGCTCTATATTTTTTAATGTGGGAGCCTGACCATGTAATATATTATTTCTAAGTGGGAGCCTGACCGTGTTATATACTATTTAATGTGGGAGCCTGACTGTGTTGTATATTATATAATGTTGGAGCCTGAACGTGTTATATATTATTTAATGTGGGAGCCTGACTGTGGTATATATAATTTAATGTGGACGCCTGAGCATGCTATATTTTATTTAATGTGGGAGCCTGAACGTGTTATATATTATTTTAAGTGGGAGCTTGACCGTGTTATATATAATATAATGTGGGAGCCTGACCATGCTATATTTTATTCAATGTGGGAGCCTGAACGAGTTATATAATATTTTAAGTGGAAGCCTGACCACGCTATATATTATTTAATGTGGGAGCTTGACCACGCTATAGTTTATTTAATGTGGGAGCCTGAACGTGTTATATATTATTTAATGTGGGAGCCTGACCGTGCTATATTATCATTTAATGTAGGAGCCTGACCGTGCTATATATTATTTAATGTGGGAGCCTGACCGTGGTTTATGTTATTTCATGTGGGAGCCTGACCGTGTTATATATTATTTAATGTGGAGCCTGACCACGCTCTGTTTTATTTAATGTGGGAGCCTGAACGTGTTATATATTATTTTAAGTGGGAGCCTGACCACGCTATATTGTATCTAATGTGGGAGCCCTGAACGTGTTATATCTTATTTAATGTGGGAGCCTGACCATGCTATATATTATTTAATGACTGTGTTATATCTTATTTAATGTGGCAGCCTGACCACGCTATATATTATTTAATGACCGTGTTATATCTTATTTAATGTGGGAGCCTGACCACGCTATATATTATTTAATGACCGTATTATATCTTATTTAATGTGGGAGCCTGACCACGCTATATATTATTTAATGACCGTGTTATATCTTATTTAATGTGGGTGCCTGACCACGCTATATATTATTTAATGACCGTGTTATATCTTATTTAATGTGGGCGCCTGACCACGCTATATATTATTTAATGACCGTGTTATATCTTATTCAATGTGGGCGCCTGACCACGCTATATATTATTTAATGACCGTGTTATATCTTATTTAATGTGGGCGCCTGACCACGCTATATATTATTTAATGACCGTGTTATATCTTATTTAATGTGGGAGCCTGACCATGCTATATATTATTTAATGACCGTGTTATATTTTATTTAATGTGGGAGCCTGACCACGCTATATATTATTTAATGACCGTGTTATATCTTATTTAATGTGGGAGCCTGACCATGCTATATATTATTTATTGCCCGTGTTATCTTATTTAATATGAGTGCCCTAACCCCCTCCCCCATACATATTAGCTAATGTTGGTCTTGGTGAGTGTTTGACCTGTATTTATTTTGAGTGTTTGATTGTTCCTATACATTATTCAATGTGGATGATCAACCCCCCCTCTAGATATGTTATTATGTGCTGGGGATCCTTATTGAAAGGGTTAAATCAATGCATCTTCTTCTTTGGAAGTATAAGCAAAAAGGAATTAACACAAACCATACAGCTGGGATAATAAAGCGTCAGTAAACTCTATATTATATCGTGCTATAATTGTGATATCGTACAGCTGCCTCTCCGGGGGGAGAGGGGGGTCTGCCAGTCAAGATCACATGATATCTCCTTGCCACTTCTGGGGGTCCTATCAATATGTAACCCTTTCACGGCTCAGTGGGGATAAACAAAGTGAATGCCTCCCCCCACTAAATCCCACTCAGTGACCCCATATGGACTGACACAGAATGATAGTAGCATGTCAGGGGTTGGTTTACTGGAAACCTGGTCAGTGTACAGCGCTGTGGTGGCAATCCATTTATCAAATTCTAATTATACAATTTTATTAAAATGAGAAAGAGATAAATAAACAGCGCAGAGACGGCGATATGTTTTAAAGGACCAATATTAAATCAAAGTATATTTTATAATAATATTTATGTTTTATTATCAGGCCACCAGACCTCCATTAATGATCCCATGCCCCCAGTGGCTTCAGGCCCTGGCTGTGCCCTGCCTGTGCTCCTCTAACACCCCCGACCGTGTTTATCTCATAATGACATGCACCCCAAAACAGCAAGGGAGTGTTTATGAGCACCCCCATTGAAAGACTGATATAAGGAACGATTTAGAATTGCGGCCACGTGGATAGTGTGCACGGTCTCAATGTATCCATATATCTTTACCGATAAATAGAATTGTATCCTGCTCGGCTCTGGGGCCGGAGATTAATCCAATCTCTTAGAGAAGAATATAATCTGCTTTTATTTATTGGATTCCACATAAAATATCTGATCTGCCCAAAATGCTGAGAAAATAGAACATTTTAACTCCTGTCTGGAACCAGATTCTCTCTGAACTAAAAAAAAAAAAGAAAATACTAATAGATGTCAAAGATTAGAAATAACATTTTGTTATACAATAACCAGCATTTATTAATTGTAAGCACATTGTGTAATTAAACACTCTGACAACCGTTAAAACGCTTTTGCTGTTTGTTTAATAAATGTAATCTATATTACATATATATATATATATATAGATCGTGTCTTTTATACACTACCTGTGTATATCTACAGATCTCTCTGTATATAAATATATATAATATGAGAAGAGCATAATACGTAATACTATATCTATGTATAAAATGCGTAATATTTAGAATGTACAGCAGGGGAATGAAGGCAGACAGACGGACAGCCCTGTTATAGGAACACAGACAGATATTGTCTCAGTCGATAACCCTCACAGGCACTTGATGCTACTGCCAAACTCCACGTTAGTCCATGTTGGAGGGGGCCAGGGGAGGGCTAGTTGTAAGCTTGCCCCTACCCCTGTCTCAAGGACACCTCTCTCTGATGGGATTTGGGTAATGTTGGTGGGTGACGTCACCGAGTCCCAGTGTAATCCTCTTGTTAGAGCAATCTACGATGCTCAGGGGCTGGTTGGGCAGAGAAGGCTCTAATCCCATAGAAAGGATCAGATCAGGACTAGGAGCAGACCCAAACCCCCTCTCTGGACAGAAGATCAGGAGGAGTAGGATAAATGCTCTCAACCCCTCCCAGTCTCTTTATAGAGCCGCTCGGAGGACAGGAGGAAGCTTACAGAAGAGATGGAACTAGTACCTTTGTGCTCAGAGGATCGAAAGGGGGATGACAATTTTTTGAGAGAATTCCAGGTTTTCTTTTGTTGCTGAATTTGTCTCATATCTGAGGATTAGAGGATCATCACAGAGAAGGCTTGGTGAACGACCCCGCACTAGGGGATCATGAAGATAATAGGGAAGGTTCCTTCACCATCATCTTATGCCCCTTATCATTCTGGTACTCTTAACTCTTACACCTCTTCTGTCCTGCCCAGCAATGCTCCTTTTCTCCTCGTCCATCGTGTTCCCCTGTCCCCCCAGCATTGCTCCTCTTATCCTGGCCCATCATGTTCCCCTGTCCCCCCCAGCATTGCTCCTCTTCTCCTGGTCCATCATGTTCCCCTGTCCCCCTAACATTGCTCCTCTTCTCATGGTCCATTGTGTTCCCCTGTCCCCTCAGCATTGCTCCTCTTCTTCTACTCCATCATGTCCCCCTGTCTTCCTCATCAATGCTTCCTTTTACCTGATCCATCATGTTCCCCTGTCCTGCCCAGCAATCCTCCCCTTCTCTGCCCTTAATCATTCTGGTATTCTTACCTCTTACACGTCTTCTGTCCTTCCAGCATTGCTCCTCTTATCCTGGTCCTTCATATTCTCTGGCCCCCTCTTCCCCAGCATTGCTCCCCTTTTCCTGACCCATCCGGTTCCCCTGTCCTCCCCTCCACTTTCCCCCCGTGCAGCATTGCTCCTATTACCCTAGTCCACCATGTTCTCATGTCCTCCCCAGAATTGCTTCCCTTCTCTTGGTCCATCATATCCCACTTTCCTCCTGTGTTGTTCCCCTTCTCCTGGTCTATCATGTTCCCCTGTCCTCCCCAGTATTGCTCACCTCTTAATTGTTGATACATATTACGGGGTTCCTGCCCCCATTGATTTCAATTGGAGTAAGCAAATGTTGCTCTGGGATAGCTGTGGTTGGTTACCTGGAATAAATCAAAATCATCGAGATTTACTGACACAAGGTAACGGGCTGATTTGACATAAAATTGCATTCTGTATGAAGACCTTTGAGAATTCTTGAGGGGTGTTCTTTTCTATTTATGAATATATCTATAGTTAGTTACGTAAACAAACTCATGCATGTTATGTGTCATGATTCATTCATTAGAACAATAATTCCTGGATTAGTTAATTGATTATTGGCTAATGGTGGCTGAGAATGATAATGTATGCACGCCTTTCTTGCACAGGGTAATTATCATTACATTGAATTAGGATACAGCTCCCTCCAAAGCCAGTTAGATGTTGCCTACAGGCTGAGCTGGGTGTTACACTTTGCCCTCCATCTGGGCAGATCTGGACCCTGTTCTTGGCCAGCACCCAGTAAACACTTTACTGTACCCTCGATAGAAGAATAGGGATGGTGTCCTGTGCCCACTGCAAACCTACTTCCTCTGGTACAGCAGTAGAAACCTCACCTTCCCTTCTTATTAGTTGGTTTTTAGTTAATATTTTCACTATACAGAACCCAGCACACTCTAATATAGAACCCTTTTCTTTTCCAGAATGCACTAAGAACCTTGGGGATTTGGTGCACAGCTCACAAGCAGTAACATAGAGCGTATTCTTTAAAGTCATCCCAATTAACCTCAATTGTGCATCACCCTCTACCAATAAGGTCCCCCCTCCCTGCTATACTGAGACCCCCTCTGCGTGTTCACAGTGGACCTTGATTTAATGTCTATACAATTAAGGCACGCGGTGAATGCCAAGAGAGGTGCTTCTAATCTGCTAATGGGGAGGCCCGAGGCCCAGGCTGTGGGATAGGTTGAGAATCCACGCTGCCCCCTTTGTGTCCCCCAAAGCTTTGTCTTTTCTTCAACTTAAATTACTATGATCTCTAGAAATACAATCCCAGAACTGATTTAGCACAGTAAAAAAACAAAACAAAAAAACACTAAGAACAAAAGACTACTTAAAGGATCAACATTTGTGTGATCTTGTATGTGTAGCACAGTTCCACATTGTACCATACTAAAAAACCCAACCATTATAATTGGCATTACCTGGAGGCACAGCATGTGCCTTCTGTAGCAGGCAGATAGTTCCTGCTCTTCCTCCCCAATATTATGGGAGTTTGATCCACAGAAGGCTGGGGTCAGAGTACAGACCATTGGGGAGAATGGGAAGCCCCCGTGAAACGCGTGACCGATTACTCTCTGTATAACCATAGCAAATAAGTTTGGTTACATATATGTGTGTTTATTACTCCATTTCTTTCTTTACCCTTCTCAGCACGAAGTGACTGATGTCCTGGTCATTAAAGGTGAGCACTGAGCAGTCCAAGCGTGGCCCCTGGGTGCATATACTGAATAGAAGTCCAAATCAAGTAAATGTGGGAAGTGTACGAGCAAGCAATGCATCTATATGTATACTGGAGGGGCCTAATGGCCGCATAGGGGAAAATATAGAGCAATATTGAAGTCTACACTGTGTGTATGATTAAAGGGAAGTTGGTCAAATTCTGTTGGTATGGCAATGTGTGTGAATTAATGAGTATTGCTACACTGTAGGAGGCGATGCGTGTGAATTAATGAGTATTGCTACACTGTAGGAGGCGATTCGTGTGAATTAATGAGTATTGCTACACTGTAGTCGGCGATGCGTGTGAATTAATGAGTATTGCTACACTGTAGGAGGCGATGCGTGTGAATTAATGAGTATTGCTACACTGTAGGAGGCGATGCGTGTGAATTAATGAGTATTGCTACACTGTAGGAGGCGATGCGTGTGAATTAATGAGTATTGCTACACTGTAGGAGGCGATGCGTGTGAATTAATGAGTATTGCTACACTGTAGGAGGCGATGCGTGTGAATTAATGAGTATTGCTACACTGTATGAGGCGATGCGTGTGAATTAATGAGTATTGCTACACTGTAGGAGGCAATGCGTGTAAATTAGTGAGTATAGCTACATTGTAGGAGGAGATATGTGTGAATTAGTGAGTATAGCTACATTGTAGGAGGCGATATGTGTGAATTAGTGAGTATAGCTACATTGTAGGAGGAGATATGTGTGAATTAGTGAGTATAGCTACATTGTAGGAGGCTATGTGTGTGAATTAGTGAGTATAGCTACATTGTAGGAGGCGATATGTGAATTAGTGAGTATAGCTACATTGTAGCAGGCGATATGTGAATTAGTGAGTATAGCTACATTGTATAGCATGAATGATGGCTGTAGAATTGTGTAAACGAAAATGAGTGTAAAACGAGGGAAATAAACAGGCAGTAGAGAGCAGATGGACTTGTGGTGAAGATCGCGAGTAGAGTTCTAGTGGAGGCAGCATTGAGTGAGTAGATTTGTGGTGGAGGCACTGGTGAGCAGATACAGTTGTGATGGAGGCAGTGAGAGCAGGTAGACTTGTGGTGAAGATCGTGAGTAGAGTTCTAGTGGAGGCAGCATTGAGTGAGTAGAGTTTAGATGAAGGCAGCAGTGAGTGAGTAGATTTGTGGTGGAGGCAGTGGTGAGCAGATACATTTGTAATAGAGGTAGTATAGAGCGGATACAGTTGTGATGAAGACCATGAGTTTGTGATGGAGGAAGTAGTGAGCGGATAGAGTTGTGATGGAGGCAGCTGTGAGTGGATAGAGTTGTGGTGGAGGCAGCGGTGAGCAGATAGAGTTGTGATGGAGGCAGTGGTCAGCTGATAGAGTTGTGGTGGAGGCAGCAGTGAGCAGATAGAGTTGTGATGGAGGTAGTGGTGAGCAGATAGAGTTGTGGTGGAGGCAGCGGTGAGCAGGTAGAGTTGTGGTGGAGGCAGCATTGAGCGAGTAGAATAATGATGGAGACAGCAGTAAGTGAGTAGATTTTTGGTGGAGGCAGTGGTGAGCAGATACATTTGTAATAGAGGTAGTATAGAGCGGATACAGTTGTGATGAAGACCATGAGTTTGTGATGGAGGCAGTAGTGAGCGGATAGAGTTGTGATGGAGGCAGCTGTGAGTGGATAGAGTTGTGGTGGAGGCAGCGGTGAGCAGATAGAGTTGTGATGGAGGCAGTGGTGAGCAGATAGAGTTGTGGTGGAGGCAGCATTGAGCTAGTAGAATAATGATGGAGACAGCAGTAAGTGAGTAGATTTTTGGTGGAGGCAGTGGTGAGCAGATACATTTGTAATAGAGGTAGTATAGAGCGGATACAGTTGTGATGAAGACCATGAGTTTGTGATGGAGGCAGTAGTGAGCAGATAGAGTTGTGATGGAGGCAGTGGTGAGCAGATAGAGTTGTGATAGAGGCAGCGGTGAGCAGATAGAGTTGTGATGGAGGCAGTGGTGAGCAGATAGAGTTGTGGTGGAGGCAGCGGTGAGCAGGTAGAGTTGTGGTGGAGGCAGCGGTGAGCAGGTAGAGTTGTGATAGAGGCAGTGGTGAGCAGATAGAGTTGTGATAGAGGCAGTGGTGAGCAGATAGAGTTGTGGTGGAGGCAGCGGTGAGCAGGTAGAGTTGTAGTGGAGGCAGCGGTGAGCAGGTAGAGTTGTGGCGGAGGCAGCATTGAGTGAGTAGAGTTGTGGTGGAGGCAGTGGTGAGCAGATAGAGTTGTGATGGAGGCAGTGGTGAGCAGATAGAGTTGTGGTGGAGGCAGCGGTGAGCAGGTAGAGTTGTGGTGGAGGCAGCGGTGAGCAGGTTGAGTTGTGGTGGAGGCAGTAGTTGTATGTTTAGGAGGCAGGTTTATGTGTATTATCTGATTTGGGGTTACGTGTTTGGGATTTGGGGTTAGACTGGAGCAAAGGAGATATTTCAATGAATACATTTATGTAAAGGATGAATGTTGACGTTTGGACAAGCAGTGTGTGCATTTGGCATGAGACATGAATGGGTCAGGTATTTTTTATGTTATCAGCATTTGGCGTCCATTATAGTGTAGTGTTAGTTAACGCTAGAACACCTATATTTCCTGTTTTCTCCTAGTAGAGATTTTTTACCTCTATCTAAACTTATTTAATGGATATTGCTCTCTGACCAAGACTGAAAGCCAGCTGGGTTAAATAACGGGGTGCACTCGAGAATTGCAGGGGCTCTCTGTGTCTTTAATTTACTGGAATGATGCCTCTTACTGCCTCCCATTCCACCCACACTGACATAATAACCATGATGACACACTGCACACTCCACTGGCAGCAACTTAATAAGGACCAGCAATTGTCAGCCTGGTCTCACATTATTTTGCTTTGCACTGACAGGGGTTGGAGGGCTCAGCTGATATCCCCCCTCTTCTATGGTTCTTAGTATGATCCACTCCTACCGCATGTGTGGAGAGCAGAGCATATGGAGGTACGTGGAGGCTGATTAAAGTATGAGATGTTTTATATACAAAGCAGTATGTAAGCTGTTTTTAATGATAGGGGCCGGGAGAGCTGTATGTATAAGGCCTTAAGGAAGAGTCAGATTGGTTTTTTTCATGTGTTTTATCACTTTCTCTGTATTTCTCTGTTTTTCCTCCACATCGTTTCTTCAAAAATAAATGTCTAAACTATTACTCATGCCTCCTCTCGTGATCTTCTTTGTGCTTGTGCTTGTATGTGTGTGCGTATGTGTTTTTGTGTAGCTGTGTGGTGTGTGTGTAAAGTGGGTTTGGTATTTGTGTATAGGGGGTGTGAGTATAGAGGGTGTGGTATGTTTATATGTGGCTGTGTGTGTATAAGGTGTGGTCTAGTGTGGTATGTTTATATGTTTGTTATAGGGGGTGTTGTGTATGTATCTGTGTGTATAGATGGTGGGGTCTACGTGAATGTGTATGTGTGTATAGGGAGTGTGGTCTATGTGTGTGTAGTTAGGGTCTAATGTATGTGTCTGTGTGTATACGGAGTGTGGTGTATGTGCCTGTATTTGTATAGGGTGCGTGTTGTGTCTGTGTGTGTATATGGGGTGTGGTGTATGTGCATGTATATAGGAGTGGTGTGTGTGTACAGAGTGTGGTGTATGTGCCTGTATTTGTATAGAAGGTGTGTTGTGTGTCTGTGTGTGTAAACGGGGTGTGGGGTATGTACCTGTATATAGGGGGGGTGTTGTGTGTGTGTAACATGACTTCTGATAATGTTTACTTCTGATAATGTTAACAGTTACAGGTTAGTAACTAAACTTAAATTGTGAAGGTTTATTTTAGGAACTTAAATTTACTTTAAAAAAAATGTAATGTAGGCAGACATGTTTCCTATTTTGCTATTGTGGCCAAAGTGTTTAAATTCCCAGGTGAGTTCTCTCTGAATCCCAGTTTAGTAGATTATACCATAAATGGGCTAAAATGAGAAGACGGGAACCTGCAGCTAAACTCCTTGTCCTACCGCGTCCTTTTATGACTGATGTAGAACTGGGAATCCGACTTCAAAGACATGTTTACACTTTCTCTACCTTTATATTTTTTTGTTTAATGAAATGTTTTTACACATGTATATCTTTCTGTCTATCAAACTAACATCTGTCTGTCTATCTATTATCTATCTATCTGCCTGTCTACTATCTATCTATTTATCTGTCTGTCTATCTATTATCTATGTCTGTCTGTCTATCTATTATCTATCTGTCCCTTATCTGCCTCTGAATTTTTCACCTACTACTGAGCTATTATCGGCCCTCAGTTCCCTGCTTAAAAGTTTGATGAAGTACTATATGTATGAACAGAAATTAGACATGTATGTAGAAATTAGCACTTTTATAAATTAACTTTGTTACACCCCTCTGGCTGTCAATCAGATAGTCCTGTTACTTCCTGGTTTGGTTAGCTCAGTGGTGATAAACTCAAGAGGCATCAATTTCCCTGAGCACCAGTCTTGTAAATGCTTGTCATTGAGCTGCATTGGGACGTCTGTGATTGGACAGCCACAGAAAGTCTGGGCGGGGTCAAGAGAGGGCTTGCATGGGCTGCAGACAAGAGATCTGCAGCGTTTACAAGCTGTTTTTAGATATAACCCAATGAAAATTTTATATTAAAATGCTTTCATTGGAGATATATATCATAAACAGTGATTGTATTTATTTATTGGGGTGGCAGTGTAGTGTCCATTTAATACTGCCCATTGTAAGTCTATCTCACCCCTGCAACATCACCGATCATTTGTCCAACAGGTGCCTCCCTTACTACTGCTTTTTATGGGTCTCTCCATTCTGGTGGTGTCATTAACACCCCGAAAACCTTTTCACCAGTCTCATCTAGGTGTCGCATACTTATAAGCTAAGATTGCGGGGTGTGAATTTTGTTACAATAGGGGTGCCAGGCTGAGGATACCCAGGAAAAGCTGTAAGTAAAACCTCTCAGCCAAAGAACATTAATAGATCACATTCAGTGTTTAGTAATAAAGTTACCCTATCGATTGGGCACAGATCAAAGGGAAATGTGTTATTGGTGTGGCTGCTTTCCATCTCATGTCTGTGCATTTTGTTTAGTAAACCAAGAGTTTAAAGGAAAAAAATGACAACCCATCTTTAAATGATTGACAGAGTCGCTCTATGTAAACCCCAAAAAAGATTTGCATGTAATGACATCAAACTTGACATAACGCTGCTAGGAAGGGGACACATCTCTTGGAAATTGAAAGTGTCTGACGCATTTGACAACCACAGGGCACTGCAAGGAAGAGCAGCAATCAGATGGAAGGATAGGAAAGAACCCGACGCATTTCACACCACAAGACCTGGTTTTAATTAAAGGTATCAGGTGGGTTTAATTGATTAAAGGTATCAGGTGACATCACATCATCACTGTGGTGGGTTTCATTTATTGTGATAACTAAAGTGTGGAGTCATTCTGTATCTGTATGTGAAATGTCAACTACATTATTTATCTGGTACATATCAACCCCACCATGACTCTCTACCATGGAGTGAGTCCACATACCGACATCACAGCAGAGAAAAGAAAATTAGGAAGATTACACATGCAGCATACCTGAGAGCGCAGGACATCGTAGTTTGCCCCCTTTTAGTACTTCATCAGTTCTTTGTAGTATGACTTATAATGAACATTAGGAATCAGCCCATGTTACCTCTAAGCAGCTGCTAATTGATCTCCTTTCATCCCATAGCTGGATAGTGATTGACGATTATAGGCCAAGATTGCCACCCTGGTTTTAAGTGGATTTATATCTGACCATGGGACATACTTAAGGGATCATTGGTGGACAACGTAAACCACGTAGTGGCTTTATCCATGCAGCGTAATACACCTTATCACTGACGGGGAGTGCGTATATATAAATAATATAAATTTTACCTGTGTGTGTGTGTGTATATAATTATCCACGGTCTTCCACTCGCATTTGTTTCAGTGCCACTGTGCTCCTTCAGCCTTCTATCATAAATATCCCCGAAAAAAGGCACTTACTGGTCTTATTAATCAAAGAAGTGGATCCTGATGAAAGTCTTTGATAGACTGAAACACTGACTGTATTCACAATAAACATTTGAACTTGGTCGAAAAGTCCAGTGAGAGCTCGCCTTCGTGACCATTATATATATATATATATATATATATATATATATAAAATATAATATTAATCTTCCCTGTATATAATATATAATACTAATATTCCCTGTATATAATATATACTATCAACCTTCCCTGTATATATATATATATATATATATATATACACACACACATACATACATATATATATATACACACAATATAATATTAATCTTCCCTGTATATAATATAATATTAATCTTCCCTGTATATAATATATAATATAAATCTTCCCTGTATGTATATATATATATATATAGAAGACAACAAGTAGAAAGGCTGCTCTCCGGATTTAAAACAAAAAATTTATTTAAACATATTTAAAAACCACGACCAACGTTTCGGTCCCCGCTCGGGACCTTCCTCAGGGTCAAAAAATAGAACAACAGAACAATACAGTAAAGTGCAATCATGGACAATAAATACCTAAATCTATAATGGAAGTACTCACTCAGGTGTGTTCCCCCGTGTTCCCGCCGACACCATGTACTATTCCGGGTATGCGCGCGCATGTTAATGCGTCACGCCCCCTCACGTTGCGTGCCTACGTATCGGATACTACCGTTGCCACAGCAACCATATAAACAAATCTTTGTGTTGATACAAACCAGTGCGACAGACTGAATACTAAATAACACAGATAATATAAACCTGGGGATCTAAAAGTATAAAGAGTGTTAAGTGTAAGAAAGTGATTAGAGTGTATAGTGGGCTATTAAATAGCTATATATATCATTAAACATTATAGAGACATGAATGTGACTCACTAAATGCCTAAATAACTTATGAATTAACCCATCCTGGGTATTTAAAGTGACACTACGCCAGAAAGTGATCCAGTGCAAATATAATAGTCTAAAGTGTTAATGGTATCAAAAAAGAGCGAAAAAAGTGCTAATAGTGCAAATAAAGTGCTACTGTATAAAGTGCTTAACAGATCATGGTATGCTTTGCCATCTATATATACATAACATAATTATATAACAACAATTATAATCACTTTCCATATATTAAAATCACAGAATACTAAACAAAAAAAATAATAGGCATGAATATAATAATTAAAACTCAACTAGCTGTAAACCTTCATATAAAAGAATGATATGTGTTACTTTCATTTAACCCCATAGGAGCCACTGTATTTAATTGGTGGATCCAAAAGGCTTCCCTTTGAAGTAGCATCCTTCCCCTATCACCACCTCTACGGGGGGGAGGGATATGATCTATGCCTACAAACTTTAGTGATGCCAATGGGTGTTTTTGGTCAAGGAAATGCTGAGCCACTGGTTTATCCGATGACCCGTCCCTATAGGCTAATCTAATGCTAGACCGGTGGCCTCTGATCCTTTCACACAACTGTGTCTCCGTTTTGCCCACGTAGTGAAGCCCACACGGGCAGACTAACTTGTATACAACAAATTGAGTCTTACAAGTGATAGTATGTTTTATATCAAAAATCCTATTCGTGTGTGGATGGTTAAACTTCTTCGCCGGACTCATATGTCCACACGTCACACACCCAAGACAGCGTACACTTCCTCGTATGTTGTGTTTCATCAACTCAGTATAACTCTCCACTGAATCGGTATGAACCAATATGTCTCTAAGGCTCTTGTTCTTTTTGTAACAGATAAGAGGTCTTTCCTTAAAGACCTTTGGCAATGTATCGTCCGCTGAAATCATCTTCCAATTGTCCTTAACAATAGCTGATAAACGGCCAGACGAATTGTGGAAGGTCATTGGAAAAACCAAATTTGGTTCACGTGTCTTTCTTGGGTGCACCGGAGCCAAACGGGCTTTCAACAGAGCATCATCCAACACATGTGTATCATATCCTCTTTCCAAAAATTTCTGGGTCATAGCCTTAAGCTGTACTTCAGCCTTCTCTTTATCTGAATTGTTCCTGATCACCCTCTGGAACTGAGCCTTTGGAATTGATTTTTTCAGGGCAGGAGGGTGTGCACTTCTAGCGTGCAATAACGTGTTACGGTCCGTA